ATTTTCCTAGCACAATTATGACATGCTTAATATGGTTAAAATATAGTGACAAGGCCATCTTTCCGTTCAATACTTGAAAAAATGTTTACAAAATCGGCAATTTTGAACTAAAAAACGCTCAAAATGAGGAATATTCTAAGCATCGCACTTCAGTGGATCTTTCTACATGGTGGTTAAAAAGCATTTTCCTAGCACAATTATGACATGCTGAGTCTGTTTAAAATTAAGTGACAAGGCCATCTTTCCGTTCAATACTTGAAAAAATGTTTACAAAATCGGCAATTTTGAACTAAAAAACGCTCAAAATGAGGAATATTCTAGGCATCGCACTTCAGTGGATCTTTCTACATGGTGGTTAAAAAGCATTTTCCTAGCACAATTATGACATGCTTAATATGTTTAAAATTAAGTGACAAGGCCATCTTTCCGTTCAATACTTGAAAAAATGTTTACAAAATCGGCAATTTTGAACTAAAAAACGCTCAAAATGAGGAATATTCTATACATCGCACTTCAGTGGATCTTTCTACATGGTGGTTAAAAAGCATTTTCCTAGCACAATTATGACATGCTTAATATGGTTAAAATATAGTGACAAGGCCATCTTTCCGTTCAATACTTGAAAAAATGTTTACAAAATCGGCAATTTTGAACTAAAAAACGCTCAAAATGAGGAATATTCTAGACATCGCACTTCAGTGGATCTTTCTACATGGTGGTTAAAAAACATTTTTCTAGCACAATTATGACATGCTTAATATGGTTAAAATATAGTGACAAGGCCATCTTTCCGTTCAATACTTGAAAAAATGTTTACAAAATCGGCAATTTTGAACTAAAAAACGCTCAAAATGAGGAATATTCTATACATCGCACTTCAGTGGATCTTTCTACATGGTGGTTAAAAAGCATTTTCCTAGCACAATTATGACATGCTTAATATGGTTAAAATTAAGTGACAAGGCCATCTTTCCGTTCAATACTTGAAAAAATGTTTACAAAATCGGCAATTTTGAACTAAAAAACGCTCAAAATGAAGAATATTCTAAGCATCGCACTTCAGTGGATCTTTCTACATGGTGGTTAAAAAGCATTTTCCTAGCACAATTATGACATGCTGAGTCTGTTTAAAATTGAGTGACAAGGCCATCTTTCCGTTCAATACTTGAAAAAATGTTTACAAAATCGGCAA